AGACCTTTCGTTGTTTAATTTAAAACGCGATGATACAATGTTTCCTTCACTTCTTTATTTATGATTGCTACTTTGATAAAGCATCCATATTATATCCGCTACCATAGACGTACTTCTGTAAATGACCCTTCATAAGAGAACTGTGTAAACCGACTGAAGGCTATCAAAATCCGATGGAAACTTTGGAGCCTCCCAAACTGTATATTGGTTTGGGGAGCGTACTGCGGTATAGAAGGGCTTGGGTTCGAATTACGGTGAAGTCATGGGTGTTTGTAAATGTATAGCTTCTTTCCTTAAGGTGGGCAATCTAAATATATGGCGAGCTGAAAGTCCTCTCGTGTGGTTTGTTGGTAGGGGAGAGAGGTGGAAGCCCTTGGACTAACTCCCCAGGGTGTCCTCCCTCAAAATTGGAGCGGGAATAGAAATCCAATCTCTTTGAGGCTCTGACAATTATTCTTTCAAGAAATACATGGACAAAATAATAACAACAGAAACGTTTCTCTGGAGAACTGCGCTGAAGAATTTCTAAGTTATCAAAAACTTCTTTTTTAAGAAAATAAACCCGTCGAAACGTATTAGCCGAGGTTATAAGTAAAAGCGTGTCAATTTTGAATGTACTTAGTTGCGTTATAAATCACTGAGCACTTTTGTTTAACATTACTTAAAAAGTTTGTATTGCGAATCAAGTCGCATTCATCTCCGCTTCTCAACACCTTTCGCCTCTTGTTACCCCAAAAATTTCAGCTCTAGAAGAAAATTGCCGGTTATCTGTTTGAAATTAAAATCGTTAAGCTATTAATATTTTTTGTGTAAGTCCATATCTGTAAATTTCTCTTTGATACAAATATATTATTAGACATCAGTTAAGCATTATATCTATTGTACACAATAACATTAAATTTAAAGCAGTATGTAAACCTTAATACTGAGATGAGATCTCTTGAATTTAATACGGCTGGTGAAATCTTAATGTAACGTCAAATAATCGTTAAATACTAGAATTCATCTGATAAGGAAGGCTTCCTTGTCAAATTTCTGACGAGGATCGTTTTGAAACCGTAATATAAAATATCAGATTAAAGTCAATGTTTGAGTAAAGAAAATGAGTGTTTTCGCTGGAACGTTATTTTAAATTCCTGCGAAAATACTTTTTTTTTGTCTGAAATTAAAACTTTTCAAATTATGGAGCAACAAAAGTGGCATAAAATTTTTTATTTATAATAATAATAACAATAATAAATCTCTCCGTTAATATATTTGTCTTGTAAAATATTTTGAAGTGTCATTTCAAAATACAAGTGTATAATTTTTTTATTGAATGAAATATTTTATAGAATAAATACCAAAATTGTTAGCAAATGCTTAAATTAAATTTTATTCTGAAATACGAGTTCTCGTATCTGCATTATGTGAAGATTAGTGTTTTGATTGCTTGTTGTTTTAAGGATACAAAATACTCAACTGAAAATAATTCCACAAATAGTAAATTTGTTCTTACAGGACACATTATGTTTTCTTCATTAGAATAGTCGGAAATTAAAAAACTGTGTTTATTAATGAAACGCTCATATATAGCTCCCTTCATTTTAATTCCTTTCACGATAGCATTTCTTAACATAGCTACCCTTATGAAGGCTTTGAAAAAATATCTATGTATCAGGGAAAACCGATATAAAAATCATTATATATCTTTATATATAATTAATTACCCTACTCCTCATTATTTCTCACGGAAAACTCTGTTGAGCAAACGTTGCTGAACAGTAATTCGTAAATATTTAATACCTTGAATCTGGCTGTTTTTCAGAAAAGTATTCTTAACTGTGAACCTGAACTGTAAAGTTTGTAGTACTATTAAATTACTAAAGACCAAAACTATTAGTACTATTACTAAAGACGCAATACTATTAATATATAGTTCATAAAACCAATGAAATTCTTTTTCTCTTGCTGTACAGCCAAACTATTCCTCTTTTATGAAAGCCGTGTTTTTAACAGCAAACAAATAAAAGAAATTCAACTACAAATTATCATCAACAGAAAAATATATTTCCAATTTTCTGAAATATGAACCCTTCTTTTTAAGGAATCTTTTAATTTACAGCTTCAGATATAATGATATAAAGTTTTGTTTTTTTCTCATAAGCAGTTTTATTGCCCAATTGATTTGAAGCTTGATTTTTGAAATTAATCATTATTTGGTTAAATTCACTTATTATTGTATATCGTAAATGTTAAGATATGAAATTTAAGAAGCTATTTTTGTTAACTAAACGAAAATTGAATTTGTATGTTGTCACTTAATAATTATGATAACAGTGAGATCGAAAAATAAATGATACCTACTTTTTGATTTATCAAAATCAGCAATGAAGAATTTTCGTAGTATTTAAATATCGTTTAGTTATAAAATTTCCTAACGTTTCAAAGAATTATATTTATATTCATTTTTTGTATTTATTAACTATTTTCTTCTTATTTATAACGCTTTTATAATGTTTCCAATCTTAATTTCAGTTTAATAGATCTGAATTGTAATTACATGTAATTATCTAATGACAAATCAGTGAGGTTTATTGCAAAATATTTAATTTTGTGACTTTGATGTGCTATGTATGATAATGATACAATGCAAATGTTTAATAACATGTGATAATGCTATGTTTAATGACCTGTTGTATTTCTTTTCAGCGCTTCAAATAGATAAATAAATAAATTTCAAATTGTGCAAAAAAGAATTTTAAATTTCTTTTATACCCCAGATTTCACTCAATTCGGTTAACAAAGAAAATTTCTAAGACTTCATTAAACTGATAATATATAGTATTGTTAAAAATATTTTGGAACGGATATCTTTAACTAAGTATCTGATAAATTTGTTTAATATAATAATAATTTTGTATCTGAAAAACAACAAATTTTTGTAATTATAAATGTTAAAATTCTTTCTTCTAGTCATGCTTGAGTGTAAAGTGTCCTAGTATGTGATTTTATTACATATTTCAGATTTTTTGTAATCCTACTACTTTATTGTAGGTTATATGTCTTTATTCAAGGTTTCTTCTTGTCTCGTATATTTTTTCGCAAAATTTTACATCCGTTTACTTTAATACGTCACTATAATTATATAGTATGAATTCTAGAGCACAGGAAATAGACTTTTCGCTTATTGTCCTTGTTCTATGATATAAAAAAACGAAAAATTAAAATATATTTATGTTTTCTTTATTTATTAAAATGCATCTTAAATTTTGTTTTTTATTTATGACAATAAAAGAATGTTATTATAAAACTTGTATGCTAATTAACTACAGTGTGGACACTTTTGGAAATTTTTATGTTTTTGAACTTTGTATGCTTATAGAAAACGTTACGTTTCACAAAATGCAAACTTGTATATATCATTTTAAAGTGAATTTATTACTGAATTCAATACAAAATACAAAATTCAATTATTTGCAATACAAAAAAAGTTAAACGATAATAGTTATCGATATACATTAGATAGTGATGATTGAAGTGAGTTATCAGTACTTAGTAGGGTACCCTTTATTTTTGATTACGTTCACATCGACGTTTCATTGAACTGATAAGAGTTTTAAGCTCTTTCGTTATTACATGATGCGGGAAACAATTATAGCCTCAATTAGTTCCCTTTTATTTGATGGCGCGTCATTCGGACAAGAGATTTCAAACGGTGCACAATTTCGAGAGGATTGAGGTCAGGACTGTCGCCATGACAAAACAATTTCGCTTTGTACGAACCCATCTTTCGATATTTGGCCGTGTGGCAAGGAGCAGAATCCTGCTGAAAAAAATAAACGAAGAAGCATGGTTGGGAAAAGGATCTCTGATGGAAGTAGAAGTTATGGTTCTAGAATAGTGTCAATTATTTTCTGACATTCAGTCCCATCGAGGACATGAAGGCGACCTACCATCTGATGACATGCATAAACAAATCATAACACTAACTGGGTTATCACAGTTGCTGAATGCAGTCAGGATTGTAGTCTTCTCCTTTTAGTCTTACATATTTGCCCATCACTACCGAAAAACGGATCTTAGTTTCATCACTCCATATAAGTGACCACTGACATCTGTCCAAGGAGTGTTCCTTTGCCCATGTAGTCTTTTTTTCGTGCTGAAAATTAAGATAAGGCTTTTTTTGTGGAATTTACCATAGTCCAACATCGTTAATCTCTCTGATAGTTCTTGAACTGCAGAAACACCAGCATCATTCAGATCATTCTGATGGCCGCTGATGACATTTTTCTATCTTGGAGACATAGTCTTTTATCTTCTGTCATCAATAGATGTGTGCCACCTTTTTCGGCCTTTTCTTCTTTGTTTTTTATTGAATTTGTCTCCTGATATCGTAAACAAAACTTTCGGACTCCAGATGTAATCATGAACCAGCCACCGTCTTGCAATTTCAGCACGGAAAGACCACTTTCTGTAAACAATAATATTACATCTTTTCTAGGGTCCAATATATCTTTATTTGATGTTATTGCTTCTTGACTAAATATTAAAAATTTTACAAAAATTTCCTACTTGTAATTGCAGTGTATAAGAAACAGGTGCTCCTTCTACAGAAACAAAGCCAAAATAATGAATTGTTTCAAGTGGTGACATGATGTTAGCTTACTGGCAGTTACTAACATGATTGGTTCTCAAAACAAAACAGTGATTGGCCAGGAAAGCTAGACTTACAACACTTTAACGTGTTTTTATTTATATTAAAGTACATATAACTTTTTCGTATTGCAAATAATGAATTTTGTGTTTTTGTATTGAATTTAATAAATCTCTTTAATATGAGATACAAGTTTGCATTTGCGAACGTAAATTTCTATAAGCATCAAGTTCAAAACATAAAAATTTCCAAAAGTGTCCACAATTTTGGCCACCACTGTATATCTATCTTTCAAATTGTGTTATGAGTATTATTCAAGAAGTGTTATCGCTTACGTCTTTTTGCTGTTTTTCCTCAATTTCAGTTCCAGCCCGATTCGAGAACAAATTTAAAGTGGAAACAGTTCGATGGGGTGAAACAGCAATTTTGCACTGCGAAGCCTTTGGCGATAATCCTATCACATTAACGTGGACCAAAAATCAAATTCCGATATCGGAAAAGGAAAGCACAAGGTAAGGTTCAACTAGTTTTGGTATTATTCTTTTCAGAAAATACTATATTTCAAACACATGAAAATACGTAAGATTTCATTTGTATTCAGAATTTTTTATCGGAATTAGGGAAAACTATAATATGTAATCGAGTTCTTTTAAATGATTATCATTTTTAAGAAGAAAAAAATATCTTATTATGAGCATAACGCATAAAGCAGTTTAAACAAACAAAACGAAGAATAATTTTAAAACATTCATAAAATGCTAGAAATTCTACTTAAATTGTTTATCATTGAGAGATTGCTCCATATATGCTATTAAAACTTAGGTTAGTATCATATGTGGAAAGTGTTCAGAACATGTTTATAATATATAAGATTACATCTTAGCGAAATTTCCTTGAAGATACAAAATATTACATCACATATATTCTTACTATCATGTTGTATTCTTATTGTGAGAAAATTGTGATTTATTTTTATTTGAGTGGCGAAGTTTAAAAAACATAGTATAATAGACGCGTACTAAACGAACCCTCACGTTCTAAAACAAAAAGGAGTATCATAACGAGTAGTCGCCGTACTGAAAGTTAATTTGACTTAATTGCTTCGGTTGGACGCTTTTTGCATTAGCTGTTGTAACGGAATGGATCGCTGTAACGAGCAGTCGGTATAATGATCGTCGACAATATTAACGTTTTAACAACTGTAAAAAAATAATAAGTAAATAACGTATTAACTTTCTGGTTGTCTATCTCTCATCGAATTTTTTTACCTTTATTATTGAAATATCTTCAGTATGTAATGACTGCATACATTAGTATGTTTAAAAAGGTAAGTCCTTTAATTTTAAACTTTCTGATATTTTAATGCGTCCAAGTGCTTAAAACTTCACTGTGTGTGTACTTTCTGTTGATGAAGATTTCTCTTTAAATGACTTCGTAAGATAGCTAGTAATTTCTCTTCATGGGAAGAAAAGGCAAGAGAAAAATTACCGTTATCCGGGCTTCTGTACATTTTGAACTAAAGAAACAACTTCAGAATAGAAAATAGACAGAATTTTCCATAAATGAAGAGCACTCCAATAAGATACGACTACACTAAAAAGTTAGTCTATATTCAGCGTGTCTCCCATAAAAACGGCCCTGTTCAACAGTATATACACTCTTAGACAAAAAAAAAAAAAAAGGCACGCACCACAACGCACCGAGAAGTTATTAAGTAAATTGGACACAAATTGATATGCATACTGGTTTCGATGGAAATGCAAAATTTTACATTTTGGCTGCCAATGAATGAACGGTTGTCGCTACAGCGCATGTTGCGCAATGGCAGGTATTTAAGAGGAAAATTCGTTCCAGGTCATAAATTTCACTAATTCATTCCGTGTATCTGGTAGACAGTAATATGCCTCTCATCAGGCGCGAAGATATGCGCAAATGTAAGAGAGTTTGTTTGACTGGTACTTGGCCTCAAGGAAGCCGGTGGTCTAATCGGCGAATACCCTCATTTGAGCAGGAGCGAGCCATGTTAGACGACGTTGGCAGAATGGGTTAAACCATGCCCGCACACAGGTCAAGAAGGAAGCTGTCGGCTGGAGAAATGAAGAACGTGAGACGAGCAATCGTCAGAGCGGCCTCACAGCCCTAGAGCTCATTTCATCGATGTACGGCAACAAGGCAACCGTGACCGCAAGGACATTATAGCGGTCACAGAAAGGGGCTGAGGGGTCACGGCGCCCCTTGGTCGACTACCATGAAACTGTACAATGTCAGCGTTTGCAGTGGTGTTGGCCCTTCGCACTGAAGGCACAAAAGGAAGTAGAATAGTCTCAGTGATAGTTACACTTGACCTGAGCACGAGGAACAGCGAAGGAGAGTCTGAAGCGCCCGGACAGCGGGTTGTGATACCAAATGACTGTCTTCCGGCAGACACGCCGAACAGGAGGATGGTCTGGGTGCCTTTCAGTTCATAGTAGAATCCCTTGGTTGTTCCGTTGAACTTAAACACAGCGGATCTAAGGCCCGTGGGTGGCTTTCATATCATTATTCGGCTTACATTCAGCAGATCATGCCCGCCCCTATGCACATGCTTCGATTGCTTCCGACATTACCTGGCCAGCAAAGGCGGGATTCTTCCTATTAAGCACGTGGAGCATTAGGGCAGGGGCTCAACCAGCTCGGGTGTGACATCTAAGCCCGAGAAGGACAGAATAGACGAATCCCTCAGAGGACACCGCAACCTCATCATCGATGCCAAGCCGAAACTGCTGCATAAAGCCAGAGGTGGACAAACGCGTTACTGACTTTTCACTTTTAAAGCTCTATCACTTCAAACAAATCCAATTCTAAACGTAATTCATTGTTTTCGTATATTGCAGCATTCTACCGATTAACTCCTCGTGGTGCGTCTTTTTTTTTTTTTTTTTTTTTTTTTTTTCGTTAGAGTGTATTTTTTCTAACTTTCTGTGTTAGTGCTATTTTCGCTGCATCAATTAAGAATTTATCGCAAGAAATCAATTAAAATACAAAGATTTATGGCCACCTCATTCCCCAGATTTTATTTCTTGGGATTTTTATGCCTCGAGATACCTAGAAGGCAAAAGTCTATGAAAATAACCTCAAAAACTTCCTCTAATAATATTATATACTGTTTTTCCAAAAACTAAATTACGATTTACGGTAGTTGCTTGTCAGTTTGCTTATTAGATATCCTATAAGTTATTTCTCCAGCCTTCTTAGCGAGCCTTCGTGGTGTAGTGGTCTGCACACTCAGCGCGTAATTGAGAGGTCGGAGGTGAGGTTGATTCCGGCGAAAGGCGTGAATTTTCATCTGCCGTTCCAAAAATACTAAGTCTCTATAGTGGCGCCGAAACCAAAGGGTGTGAATGATATGCTCTACCCAGGATTTGGCAATGAGTCCCTTAAAAAACCCCAATCGGCCTTAAAAGGGGGAGGCCATAAGGTATTCTACCGTTTTCTTAGCGAACCTAGTGTGAGTGTCTGCTGCTCAGCGCATAATTGAGAGGTCGGAGTTCGATTCCGGTGAATGAAAGCGTTGCATATTTTCATGTTGCCTGCTTCAAAAATACCTAATGTCTCTACAATTGTTACCATAGAGTTAAGGCGCTTAATTTCCATAAAGAAAGAGCACTTCCAGGCAGATTAGCAGTTTCGACTAATGGAATATAATTATTAGGAGAAGGCATGGAGAAAGAACTGTATGTATTTACGTAATTAAAAACAGACAATCTCTTAGTGAACAAAATTTGCTTCTAGTTCTCGATGATAGACAAGTTATACAATCGTAAGTGCAAATTTAATATACTCTAGCTGTAAAATCTTCGAATTCATCTCTTTAAACAATCTCACGTGCTGAGTACGGTTGAATACACAAATGGCGTTGCACTTCAACAATATTATATATTTACTAAATCAAGATATTACAACTCCCCCCTCCAGATAAACTTTAATTATATTTTTTAAATTAAAGTTTAGTTTTTGTCAAAGGGACTGATCCCGAAGGACTATTTTCGTTTTGGCATTTTGCGTCGGACGGATAAATGTCGGTTCACTTTTCAAACTGTTGCCATAAAATGTTAGAGTCCTGCATTATATTTGAAGAAATTAAATAATGAAAAATCTGCGTAAATGTATGTTGTATATTTCTCGCATTGTCAAAAAATAACGGTACATAGAGTCATCGAATTTTGAATAACGTAATCCTCCAACGAATATGAGCATGTGGAAGACCAAATTTGAAATTTGAAATTTGTTTTATGATCGATTTCCTATTTTTTAAAACTTTGACGAATTTTTGATTAACAAACTCAAGGATTTCAAAGCGAGCAATGGCAACGTTGTGCAGAAAAAACATTTTTATCTCCAGCGCGTGAGTCTCTGTATCGGAAATTCTAAAGATATGCTCGTTTTAAAACTATTTTGCGATATTGCTGTTGCACTGGATCTTATGGTTTAAGTGCGAGGAACATGATATTTAATAAAGAAAGGTAACATACAAAATGTTCAAAAAACGCCCCTTTGGACGTAATTTAAAATCTGAAACATTTCAGATTTTTTTTTTTTTTTTTTTTCTTTCACAATTCAAACTGTTGCCATAAAAAATAGATCCTGCATTTAGAGGAACAAAATATTTTTTTTTATACAGAGAAACAAATTATTTAATCGGACAGGGAGTACGACTTAAGCGTCTACATTTTTGATTTTTACTATTTCGAGAACGATGTGAATGTAGGGGTTGTAGTACAGTGCCATCTCAAAGTCGTGGATTAAACTAACTTAGTTTTAGCAAACTAAGGGATACGTCGTCTGATGGGAATTAGTATGCCCGTCTAAATAACATTGAAGTTTCTTTACACAAATATTATGGCGGGCATTCCTTTCTGTGGTAAGTTTTTTTTCAGTTTTGTAAAGTTCTTACTGAGGTATAATACGGATTCATGTCTCGTTAGCTTTTGAGCTAAAATGAACCATACCAGAGTTGAAGCATTAGTTTGCAAAAACTCTTATGAAATCAGGTGCATATGATAGGCCTTGAGACAGCTCCTTAGCTCGTCAAAGGCTCGTGCATCTTCTGTCCAATATTTCCCTTTCTTTAAGTTTCCTTCAAAGTTTGTTAAAGTGCTGCGATGTGATAACATGGGATGTAATGCTTATAATATCCCGCTAATCTAAAAATGCTATGACTGACTTTTGTGGATGGCACTGGAAAATCAAGATAGCTTTACATCACTTCACTTGGCTTTGCATACCACGACCACAATATATCCTAGATATTGTTCATCTGAGCAAATTTATATTTAGTGTTGATAGTTAAACCGGTCTTTATTTGGACAAACGGCTTCAGGGCCTTTAGATGTTCTTCCAGGTGTTTGAAAAGATTGCCACGTCATCAAATATGGAACAGCAAAGTTTCAAAACCGTGAAGGATTTCGCCATCATTTTACTAATGAAAATGGTGATTTTTAAGCCGAAAGGAATCCGTAGAGGTAGGTCTAAA